ATATATATACAGTATATATACTGAAGTCTTAAATTAAAAGTTTGACAGTAAGTGTGATCAGTGTTAATGCCAATGTAATTGCAGTGAAACCCCCAAAAGAGCCACGTGTGAAAGTAGCAACAACAGGATCAGATAGAGATAACAATGCTAAACCATCTTTTGTGACACAATTTGTTGCTTCCTTTTCAGGTGGAAAAATGAAGCATAAAGATTGACACATTGAATAATGAATCACCATTTGCCCAGTCAGATTAATCATAGACGGGATAGTGTGGATTTGATATGCTGGTGTTAGTTTCATTTCTCTGCAAAAAAAGCATTATTGGTGATGTTTGGTGCAGTAGCTGACTAAACCGTCTGTTCCAGAGCTCAGACTGAAGGGCTAAGGCGCAGTCACTTGGAGTAACGGCTCATACAGGCGGAAAAACTGAAGCCTGACTACAAATGATGTGGCTTCCTGCAGAGGGGGAAACACCATGGCAAATGTGTGAATGTGCTTTTCTTTTTTCCTTTCTTTTTTTTAGGGGGGGGGGTCTTTTTCAAACCAAATATGACTCTCTCATCCTCCGTTCCTTTGTTTGTAAATCAAAAAGAGCTCAAAGATGAAACAGCACAGCAGACATGAGTAGTAGAAGATTGATGACTTTATTTCAAAATACATCATTTATCAATATGGCAGTTTTACAGTTTATATTAATCAATCTCCTTATTACTCCAAGTCATTGTCATTCTCCAAAAATATATTGTACAACATGAGAGTTTTTTTAAGTATGCACACTCTGATTTCCTCTGTAGTTTGTTCTGCATGTTTTACTGTAACTGTAAAGTGTGATGTGAAATGGGTGTGTGTATCTATGTTTGAGTCACTGATGTTGTAGGTGGGGGAGTCACATGTTTTATCCTGAGTCCATAAATGTCAATTCCTGATAACAGTAATAATGCAACTGTGTGACACACATGTACTCACCCACACACGCACACACATGGCCCTTTACTACACACACACACATACAAAATGTTTACCACAACAGTGCACTGTACATGGAGTTGGTAACATTTTCACTATTAGAATTTTACTTTGAATGAGTCAAGTGTCTGACTGTGAAGTAATATGAATCATTATGTGAACCCAGCACATAATCAGGGGAACTGACTGACTTTGAGGGGAAAAAGGATTTATGGTTTATACACACACACACACACTAAAAAAAGAAAAACATTCCTGCCTGTGATTTTGGTCAGACATTTGAAGCCATTGTGAAAGTGATGTGGTTTAAGTGTGAAGGAAGTAAACGCAGAGATCGAAACTCTGGACCACAGAAGAAAAACATAACAAAACTTATATCCATTCAACTGCAGCATCAGGACCTCAACAACATGAGGAATTCAATTATTCTTACTGCTGGATTCTTATGATGCATTCCTAGGTAGGTTGTTAGGATCTTAAGATAGCTTTTGTGTGGATGTTACATCCCTACCTCTACAGAATCTCAGGCATGGGAACCAGAGAGCTCCTCCCTGGCTCAACGTACATTCAGACCACGAAAGGTAGTTTTTCTTCTCATTTGTGAGGCCGCTAGTTTCAGGTTAAGAGGAACAGGTACGGTTTCCTTGCAAGTTACGGGATGAGTGTGATTTTTCCAGTTAACTTCCTTCAGTCCAGTGAGGTTAAGACTGCCCACCAAGCCCACTCTTTCTAGTGAGCTGCTCTCTGATCATGTGTTGTAGGCCAGTGGACCTTGTGAGCAGTTCAACTGAAAATGGGTTTTCAAATCAGATTATTTCATTTGAATAATTTTTAGAGATCTCAAGAAGTAAAACTATACATATACTAGACAAAGATAAAAAGCTAAAAAGCACTCAATTATGATTTTATACATAAAATAAAATAATAATAATTAGCTGTCTAATTATCTGGTGAATTCTTAGACTACCTTATGAACCCTTGTTGGGGTCCCGAGCATCAGGTTAGGAACCAGCTTTATTTAGCCAGCACTTTTCAATTCAGCATGAGGCAGTTCTCTGCTTTGCCTTTTTCTTTTGTTTCAAACTAATAAATGTTTGAAAAGCTTCTGCACTTGTAACAATCTAATGATAACCAACATTAGATATATATGTAAACAAACACTGAATGGCTTGATATCACTGGCATGTATATAAGGTGGTACGGGCTTTGGTCTCCATCTACTGCAAGGAAAGTAGTTCAATCTTGATAACCACCTAAAAAAAGGCTTTGCGATTTTTGTTTGATCAGTTTGACATAATTAAAAGGAATCAGATGTTTTTTAAAAGCTGACCAGATTCAGTAGAAAGAGATTTTTGGAAGTGCAATATATGTAGCAGCCCAGAGGTAAACAATTTGCGATAACAGCTTCCTCTACTACACCACCAGACCACTGATAACATCAGTTCTTTTTTTTTTGCAATGAAACCCAGAGTTGAGGTCTGCAATGGACAAAGCAATGATACTGTTGACTGTTGACTGTTCACTTGCTCATCTAAGCAAATGTTGTGGCTTATATACAATACAATAAATAATAATACAAGAAGTATTCATTCATACTGTTTTGTCCCTTTGACATATCAGTGTTTGTCTTAGGGGCCATTCTTCCTGTGCACCTGTGCTAGTACTTCCTGTCTCAGTCGCCCTCCGCTCCCCTCATACCCCCACCCTCAAACCGCATCCTTCACACTGTCACAATAATACTTGTAGAGAAAAAAAATTACTCCACAGTCACACAAAGACTACGATGCAAAGGTGTGCAAGTGAAAACAACAGGGTCTTCCCCATCTCTACCCCTCAGTACCATGACATCTCTTACCATTTACAGTACACAGCACTGCAGTCACAAGACGTGATAAATGGGCAGTGGTTTACATTCACATTTACATTCATGCCCTCCTGTACAATGTATGTGTATGCGTGTGTGTGTGTGTGTGTGTGTGCATGCTTGTCACTCTTGAATATGCTGTAGAGGTCTCTGGGAAGGGTAGTCGATTGATGGAGATGTGTTCTGTTCCTGGATGTGATCATAAGCCCGCAGGTAGTGGCCATTGTTCTGCTGGTAATAGTACACCAGTTTTCTGGCAAACACTGGCTCCACCTAAAATGAAATTAGGTCTCTGTATGAAATATGTATGTAACTGCTGAATCGTGTTATGCTATTGTGACCTACAAAGGAAGAGATCAATACCTAATGCATATACTGCTTTTCTTCTAGCTTTCTTGACAATTTTAACCAGTTTCTTTGAATAGATTTTGTGTCTGTCTGTCGGACTTAACTACTATTATAATATTTTCACTGAATTCAATATAATAGGTTAATTCACATGTTAATACATTAAAATTCAGCTTAACCACTCTGTATGCATGAATTCAACAATTCAAAGAGTCACTGAGATCTGCTAAGCTGTGTTTTCTTTCCTCATTGTTGATTTTATTTAACTACTGCCTCATTCAGTTATGAAAACTGAAGTCTTATAAAATTGACTTTTTTAATTACAGATAAAATGAGTAAATTTAGCTAAAGCTAGCTGTAGCTATCTCACCAGCAAGCGTGCTTTGGTGCTCTGGCTTCATCTGGTTAGTGCTGTTTTTGTTCAGCCCCGTTTTACAGTAAGCGCCGTTTTTTCACAGAAATTGCATATATATAATATAACATTAGTATTGCATGATATGTTTGCAAACATAAAGTCAGATTCAGGTCTAAGAGGTTTGCTAGTTACTGCATTTTGCATTAGTAAGATAGTATTGATTTCAAAAAATTAGGCTATTCCTAACAACCATATATGAATTAGCCAATATGCATATATGGTTGTTAGAGGAATTATGACATTCAATTACCAGATAAAATTTTGCAGTGTATTGGTACCTGTGCTGTGATCATTTTCCTCGGCCGTTGCGGGTCAGGGTACTCGTCTCCAAAACATAGCACCACTTGGTGTCTCGGTAAATGACGGCCAGTATGGGCAAAATCTTGAAGCTCTGAGAGAAGAAAGGAGAATAGAATAATGTGCATCACCCACAACAAACTAACTGTGCTACTTATCATACACCCCAGCTTTAAAATATACAATAAAGACACATTAAAAAACCCCAAATAGCTCACAGAGCATTTTCCCTAATCGTGACGACTATTCTGGAAACCACTGATGAGGATGATGGAAATTCAGTGTGAAATGGCACAGAAAACACATCTTGTCATTCTGTGTGGTGGACCACAGGAGGTGGGTGGGGACTCCACACACTTTGGCCCCTTATTGAAAATGTGACTAGCTTTAGTGCTACCTCAACACTGAGAGGGACTTACCCAGCTAAAGCACCTGCAGCCTCTCCTTCAATATTATAATCAACATCATCACAGCCATTATCGACATGATGACAACCATCGTCTTACTGTAAATAGCTGGTGGTTATTGGGGCACTGCTTAAAGAATTATCATTGCTTAAAGAATTAAATGAGCAATGAAAGCTAAATCCATATTTGGAGTATACACCACTGGATAAAAAACGTGTGATGATGGAGCCCATATTATGCTATACCTTTTTCATTATACTTTGCTACATTTTAGGAGGAAATATTGCGCTTTTTACTCTACTGCATTTATCAGACAGCTTAAGCTAGCTACCTACATTTTACATACAGAACATGATCATCTAATAAAATATGATGCATCACTATAGATCAAACTACCAAACTGACTAAAGTAGTTCAAATTAGCTCTACCCAATCAGCTGCTTACGTGGTAACACTTTACAATAATCCCCTATTTAGCAAATGTTTTATATCACCACATAATGTAGTTGTATGCAGATATGAATGATCATTAACGTATTTTTCAGTTCCTCCCATGGGAACCCATAAGATAATGAATGAAAAATGTAGAAAGAAATATATTAAAATATGTCTTCAGAGGAGAAGTTAGTAAATAAAATAATTGTGGTCAAACACTGTAGATTAATAAACATGTTAGGTAACATTTTAAACACAGGACTTTTACATCTCTAAGGATAAAGGGTGTATATATGCTCTATGGATTATAAGGCCCTTCGAGGTGAATTTGTGGTTTTGGGATATGTAAATTAAAAAGGACTTGATTTGACTGAAGTAAAAAAGCTTAATATCTTATATCTAATATATATAGTCTTCCTTCACTCTCTGAACAAAAGGTTAACATTATAAAGTTCACAAAAAAAATTTTGTTTGTTCAGGAATATTGTATTGAACCGCATCATATTGCACAGGCATTTCTGTTATTGTGTCCAAACATACACAATGCTACAGAAACATATTAGTGCTTACCAATAAGGAATTGCTGGGTGTCAAACAGCTTGCATGGCTGCTCCTTCTCCAGCTTGTTTGGCTTATCCGTATACGGAGCCAGAGGTCCTTCCCAGTACACTCGTCCCTGGCAGAGGCGCTTAGCATATAAGCCATCAGGCATCATCCACAGGAGTACCCCCCTCTCCAGTACATTAGGTAGCATCTCAGCACCCTGCCTGTGAGACTCAGGGTACGGGCATGGAAAAAGAATGACTTCTGCCCCGCTGTGAAACTTGTCCTCTGAGCATGGGGAAGAAGAAGAGGAAGAGGATGGAGAGGAGGAGGGAGAAGAGGTGATCCGACAACCTTCTGGGCTGGTGGTGGTAACCTCCTTCACCAGAGACTCTCTGTAGTATAGGGACACATGCAAGCTGAAATCTGGAAAAGAGATATGAGCATTTAGTGGATCGATCCTTGTAGAAAACTTTGTCAGTGTCACAGTCACAGCCTTATCAGATGTAGTCTCTAAAATGTCAAGGTTAAATAAAACTTAATTCTCAGTAATACTGGCGTGCAAAATATTGCACGCTTCTCTCGTATCATTCCTAGCATCTCTTTAACCTTCTTTCTTTTTAATCTATCATCATGTGATAAATTAAAAAAACCTCACTGCTCACTATGGCACATGGCCTGCTGCTCTGAGTTCAGAATAGGGAAGTAAGTAGGTGTTTGTAGTTTCTTATCTGTATATGCAAATATGGTATATTAAAATAAACAAGCATGTAAGTGAACGTCTGTTTATCTGTCTTTCAATGAACCCAAGATAATTCTTTACCTGTTATGGCATTGTTGTGGTCCATTGTGTAGACGGGCGGTTGGGACTCTGAAAAGTAGGTGTGGAAGGAAAGCTGAAAACCTGCACAGAAATTTGGTTTAATAAATACTGGGCATAATTAATGTATTGAATGTGAAAAGGTATTACACCACAGGCACAGAAATCACATGTTCGCACATCGTCCAGGCATATGCAAAACCAACCAGGCCATCCACATAAACAAATTTGTCTCTTTTTCTGCACGGACCACTGATCAGCACTGCATGGCTGCTGAAACAACCAGCTACATTCACAGGGATTATATTTGTCCTTTTAATTTGATATAATTTAATTGTTTTCTAGAATAGACTTTGCGCCAGGGTTCTTCAGCATCACAAGCAATGCGACAAAAAGTATATATATAATCTTGTACAAGTGTACAAGTACAGTATACTGTTATCCTGTTTAATTATTCGACAGCTGTCTAACCATACGTGTGGTACTAAGCATAATGACTATTTAAGTTCTTTGCACATGAGAAGATCAAATTAATATTTTAATCTACAAGGAAGGAATAATGTGCAACTGCTGCTTGGTATTGTTTGGAAATAATGGCCAGTAAATTTGTATTAAAATTCAGAGCGTAACTAATTGATTAAATCATACATCTCTAGCAATTTCTACCTTAATATTGATGTATTCCTTAACACAGGCTTTTATATGGGTTTATTAATCACCGAAACTTCAGCCTTGTTCTTGTTCGCACCTTTAAAAAGCTAGCGGGAAAACAGCCTTTGAACTTGTATTTGTTAGGGGGGGGTTTCCACCTTAAAGATCAAACTTGAATTTCACTGTAAATTATATGTGAAGGATTGTGATAACTGTTTACTGATAACTGTAAGATTTTAAACGACCTGCAAGTTCACTGACATGTTGACCTGTTAAAGCCTAATGGATCCGAGCATTACATGATGAAAGAAATCAGTGTGATCGCAAGTGCTCTTAACATTTTAAAATCATTAAAGTAACAACTTTCCATCTCAGGCATGACTTCTTATTAATAAAAGGATAGACAGGATGTCACAGGTGCCTGTGGTTGGAAATCGGTGCCATTATTTGGATATTATTTGAGAAAGGGCATATTTTCATGCTCATTAAAGCAGCTGAAAGATGTATGTAATACATCAGATAATACATTGTATCATACTGTATATCTGCTTAGCATTACAGTCACACTTCCATACACAGTCAGTGATTACATGTGCAGTTTCACAATCTTGACTATCTCTAAATGTATGTGTGTATGGCCATGTCTTACCATTTTCTGCATGTGAACCAGGCCAAGGCCGGCTGAATGGTGGGTAGTGGCACTGACCATACTGCATTTCTGCATGTGGCACATGGTGATGTGGAGGAGGAAGTGGTTGTTGTTCTGGTGGTGAGTAATCTCTCCAGTCCCTTCTCTCCTGAGAAACCATATAGCCAGGTACCTGAGAAAGGACCATAGGAGTGGCCATTAAACTAAGACATTTGAAATCCTTGCAGACTAAATTACGTGCTGGGGCCACTCTATAGCATGTAGAAGCCACAAAATCTGCTGACCTGATTGTGCAGGGACGTATATGAAGGAACATAGCCATGGGCATTTACATGTGATGTTGTCTCCTCCATACTGCTCATCTTCATTCCTGTAAATGCACAAAACCAGAAATACATTAACTGGTCCACAGTAATAGCCATGCTTTTGACAATGACATTGCTTATAATAGCTCCCAACCACCAAAAAAACGTCTTTGACAACAATCCAGGATCAAAACACACTTGTATTGAGCAGATTAACAATAAACTGAGAATATGTGAACCTAACCAACATAATTTATTTTGGCATGTTCAAACTGTAAATACTTTTTGTGCACTTGTGAGATCCTGCTATTTTCATATGAGTGACAGGGTGTTTTGCAAAGTGAGTGTAACAGACTACTGAGGCAAGTGCCAACCTAACTCTTGCTCATTTCAAGAATTAAGAGTTAGCACAGATAGCATGAACTGCTTTGGAGGGACAAAAACGTATGATTGCATGAGACTTAGTTATGCAAGGCTGGAGGTCGTCTGGCTGTGTTATGTGCACGCTGCACTTAGTAACCGAAGCCCTCTAAAAAAAGCACTACGGCCTTTTTGGTACATGCTTTGGCTTCCTTTGTGCTTCCTGCCTCATCAGAATCAACTGCAGTGGTGCATATGCATGTAAAAAAAATGCCAATAGTCTATAAACAAAAGATGGTTTGTGAAATGCAGCAGTGTACTTGCAAATGAACTAATTCTGTGGCACGGCTTTACAATTTGTTATCAAATTTCAACCAATAAACTAGTTTACTCCTCACCTTGGTACATCTGCCACAGCATACAACATGACACTAACTCAGCTGAATGTAATTCTCACAAACTACACAGAATTTTGATGATATGTACATATAGTTACCTTTTTTGGCTTCCTCAGGAATGATTCTGTAGACTTTATAGGGCTCTGAGATGTCTAGTTGGCTTCTGTCCACTAACTCATCGAAGTCATTGCTTTTATTAAGAGCGCAGCGTAGCCTGGTCTTCCATGTGGGGGGATCTGGCTTGTCAACTCCTTCCTTATATTTTCCCTTAAACAATGCCCATGCCTGAAACAATCATTGAATAGATTAATTTACACTTCCTCTTTAGTCGTGCTTATGTACCAAGAATTGTAAAAAGTTAGAGCTCTGAAGAATGGAAACGAAATCTGCTTTTTAGAGTAACCGCATTACTACATTTTTACATATGCAAGAGTGTGTTTAAAAATGCAATTGTCATAGGCTTCAGGTGCAGTGTGAGGAGACAGGTGGGATGGGCCTGACCTTGAAGAGTGCAGCATCCTCCTCTCTGTTATAGTCTTGTTTTCCTGCGTGCTTCCATGGAATCCTAAAGATGGACTTTTCATCATTTTCCCAAATCAAGCCGGGATATCTCCTGCTGTCAATCTGATCGATTAGCCACTGTCTCAGTTTGCCGTTGCCACAGCTGACTGAGAGGCCACTGTCCTCATCCAGGTTCATGTCTGCAAATAAAAATAAAATGAAACACATTAACAGAGGTGATGCAGTTGTAGTTTAATGTGACTCTTTCTACTAAGATTGACTCGTTTAACTGAACATGAGAAAATAGGTTTGACAAGATTAAATTAGTTTATTAAGCTAATAAAGTTCAGTTTAAAACAGTAACTTTCAAATTACATTTCTTTTAGTAAAGAAAAGGTTAGTAAGTGCCCTGCACAGCTTCTCCTCTGCAGCCCTACATCTGCAATAATCACTTTTAATCAATTTTATCTAGTTACCTATACTCATCTGCAATGAGAGTACATGGGGGTATGAAGTGGGTTTTCATTTCTGTCAGAGCAAAGAAATGTGACCCATTTGAGATTTATGCATGAAAAGCGCCAGACATGTATCTATAAAAGAGCATTAACACAACTACAATACATACTATGCAAAAAGACACCTGATCACATGTTTGTTAAACTTTAAAAGATTTTAAACTCTTAGAAGTTATATAATTACTAGACAGTCTAAGTTGAATGACAGACTTCTCATTTACACTTAAATAATGCTGTTAATGTTATCTTGAGATTCTACACTGACACAGAGTGGAGTGACTGAAAGTGCTGCGCTTTAATTAACCATTAGAAGTAGTCTAAGTTTGATGTTGAAAAATGCCGTCATTCCTTTAAAATAAGAAGCTACTGCCGCTTACCTTTGATCATGTGAGCTCCTCCGCTTAAATCTGTTTTCAAGCCTCTCGGTGTCCTTTTCTTAAATGTTATCGCATCTTGATTTGTGTGGCAGGGAGGAGCCTTTCGGGCTCTGAGAAGTTCAAGAGGAGATGCGCAGCAGTCAAGCGCTCATTTCTGTGAAACTCGGCGCCCACACAGCACTGCTGTGGGGAATCCCTCTAGTGACACCCTGAGCAGACACCGGGACGAAATGGAACAATTACCTGTGCACATTACCCCCACATATTCTGTTTTTGTTCTAAAAAGCCTGTAAGTGTAAACTCCTTTCCAGTGACATGACACTTGCTGACTAGAAATGTCTGTTATTTCTGTTATTTGTTATGTCCTGATGAAGCATGAGGTACCACGGTTTAATTCAAACTACTATGTAATATAGGTTACTTTCTTAGTGTTACTGCCCTCCAGTGGCTATCCATGCACATGTCCAGATATCTACAGTATTTAGAAGACTGCTTTAGGTAATATCTCACCATGAAATTAATGTATTTTTAAATGCTTTAGCCTCTAAAGACAGTTGAGAAGACAGAGCGATAAAAGAACGTGATCTTGGTGTTTTTGATGTCACCATGCATGATCTCCCTTGCACATTAGACAAACAGGAAGACAACCAGGAAACAGAGACGTAAACACAGTACAGAATGTGACTTATCACCTTCAATATGGCAACCCATCGACTGACAACTTCACAAAAACACTTGACTTTACTGCTTTTATTTCACTATTTGAAATCATCATGACACAATACAAAAAAGTTCACAACATTCATAAATAAATAAAAAAACAGCACCAGAAGCATCCATCAATGCAAAAATCTTAATATGTGCTGCATATATTAGTGTCTCCTCCAGTGTTCATGTATATGATATTTAGAGGATCATTCCAGCTGCGATAAATATCCTGACTTTAGTCCTCTCTAAAGCACATTAGACCTCCAGATCGGTCCAGAATACTGTAGCATCACATGGTGGTGTGATGATCCGGACTGAGCTGCAAAATATCTCATCAAAACATGTGTTCAGATGCCTCCAGGTGGGGTTGATGCCTCTTTTTTCACTGCCTCTCCATTGACTTTAGACGCCCTAACAAGCAAGTCACGTATATCAGCCTCGTCATTGAAGGGGTTGTCCTTATATTCCATCTGTAGCCATTCTCTGAACTGCAGGAAAAGAAAACAGTTTTTTACTAAATGCAAAATACTGATGGTGTATATATTCATACAGTATTCAACATTCATTTGAAAGTCTTGAAAGAATTTTAATTGCTATGAATTGTAATTTTATAGTACTAGGTGAACATGCTGGTATTTATATGTTGATGTGTGCCTATATTTTGTCTGTATAATTATGTAATGGTGTTGCAAGTACATGAATGTTTTTAGTGTCTGGTGATTTGTTTAGTTTGTACCTGCCCAGGGATTGCATATGGAAATGAGCTAATAGCTAAATCTGGCATAAATGATCTCTTCTCACTTTGAGATTAATGTTTGTGTGCATGGTCCTTATTTAATAAAGACTAAATAATAATAATAATAATCAATAATCATGTCTATTTAGTACAGCAGTGATATATTCCACACTCTCTTGTACTGTATTTTATCCTCGTTCAGTTCCTAGGGACTCACCTGATCAGCTTGAGTAGCCTCAAACTCCTGGAGCTGGCGCTGGAAGCCCAAGTTTGGGCCAGCACAGGGTCGGGCCACCTTCACTGCAGCCAGCGCCTCCTGCCAGCCCAGTCCTGTCACCGTCATGATGTAAGCTACCACCAGTGTGACACTACGGGAGACACCTGCCAAACTGTAAGAAGTGAAGTTGTCAGAATATATTATTGTGGCTCCTGTCTTCCACTATAGAAAACTAGATGAAAAAGGTAAATACAACATACTGGAAAATATTAGAACCATGTAAACAGGGATATAAACAAAAGGTTATCTATATTCTATGAAAATGCCATACTCGAATATGTGATAAACCGAACGCAAAACCAGGGTACTAATGTGCATGTAAACATATTATATGAGAACTAGAAGTTGAAAACGCTACTAAACTGAAGATCATGTAAAGTAGCTTAAAGATTCTTAGTAATATGTATCAGATTTAATATCTGCAGAAAGTGACAAGAGAACAGAGAATAAAATACAAGAATGATGTGTTAAAATAGATGAGTTTGACTGAGGGACTGAGGTGTAGAAACCGATAAAATACACACTTTACATGTTACATATTCTTATAAAATCTACATTCTTCAGTCAGTAAGTAAAGTAGAAAAACCTGTGTCAATGCAGAAGTTATAAATAGCCTTCTGTTCCCCTGTATTTCTGAGAAGACCCTCTATCTAACTAAATATAACTTTCCCCTGTGAACATATGGTCAGCCACCCCACTGCAAACACACAATGTGACTGTATTGTGTTACTGTACTCCGTTTTGGGAAGTTCAAGAATAGGCTTTTGCTTATCATTTAATCTCCACTGTGCAGCAGTTACACATGGGTTGACTCATGTACTTGGTTGATCTCAGGTTTGTTTTTTTCTCTCTTTTTTTTTTTTTCTTTCAGCTCTTCACGAACTGCGCATTTATATTTGACATGTCTATGATTGTTTTGCTTAACAAGCCAACTTGATTTTAGCTTTAAGGTAAAGATACAAAAAGCAGTCTTGCTCTTACCAGTGAACGAGGCAGCCTTCTCCTTTCAGGCGGGACTCGTGCATGAACATTATACTTTGTTTAAAGTGCTGAGTCCTGTGGAGCATAAAAATGGTTTGTTGCAACAGGCCATGACCACATTAAACACAGCAAGAACTGCTGTAAGAACTGCGACTACATGCTGTTATTTTGTTTTCACCAACACTTACAGCTCCTGCATGCATCTAAAGGCCCAGTGGCTGTGTTCATGTTAGTGTATGTTTTTGCACCTGACTTGTAAACCCCTTTTATTTCTTATCCTGGACAGATCAGGATGAGGGTGTGTTCATCTCAGGTTTGAGAGAGTTGGTGTCATGTTTCACAAAACAGGTTTCAAACACCTCACACTCTGACCCGAAGAGGTATGATGCAACCGGGCAGTAAGAGTGACAGGGGTATTAGTGTTTATATGTCTGTGTGTGTGTGTGCATATTCATTTGCGAGTTTGTGGAGGGGTGTTAGTGGGGGTACGTATAAATAGAGGCACAGCACAAACCATCGTGCTAAAGCTGCAGAACAGGGCTGTGAGACTTCCTTCCTGCTATAAGGCTGCCTGAAATGTGAATTTGGCCAGAGAAGATTTGTGTGTGTGTGTGTGTAAACCAGGGTATCCCTTGGCGATACATGCACCACCTTTGATTTTTTTTTCTTTTTTCTTCCCCAGTGTCTCATGTTACATTAAAAACACCTGCATATGTTTGTGCATGTCATGTGAAAGAGAACAACAGTGCGCCAAGAGCTGAATCCAGCCGTGCTACTGTAAATATAATCAGAAAATGAGTTCACATTTAAATGTTGAGCTTGTGAAAGCATATCATTTACACGTTAGAAAAGAAAGAAAATGAACCTCAGACGCCCACACAGCGCAGCCTCAAATGGATGTGGTACTCTCTCTTTCTGCCTCAGCCGTTCATTGTTCTGTGCTGCACATTGGTACTTACAGGTTTTGTGTGGGAAGGTCAGCTGCTGATATACAGAGATAGGTCATCTCCTGAGGGACAAAGTGTACTAGTTAGCTGTCAGCAGTCACTTGCTCTAATGCATTTAACACAAATCAATAAACAGCAGGTGATAAATACCACTGCACATCGGGGCTCTTCAGGTTGTGATGGCAAAAAAAAAAGCCTGTGCTACAGTTTGTGGAAGAATAAAGGCAATCTACTCTTCTTTTTTTTTTTAAATGACTGAGAACATGAGCTGCTTTTGCACTTGCAGCTACCAGAGAAACTTTACATCCAACATCACTAACCTAGAAAAAATAATAATGAAGCAAGACTGCAGAGTCCACACTGGCTGAAGCAAGAACAACCGCCCACTCTCAAACCCACACAAGCACACAACTCAGCACACTGACCTAACCAACTGTTGTTGACTGGCATTGTTTTCACGATACTCCAACAATCACATGAGTAAGTAACTCCCCCTGCTTATTGTTTATTCACCCTGGGACAGACAGATATTTGCTCAAGAAAGCAGCACTTCTTCCTGAACAACCGGAGAGACTGGTTGACGGACCGTGTCAGAGCTCAAGTCATGTGCACTAATAAGAGGGGCATCAGCCAATCAGATCTCTTCATCCTTGTTTGCTTCTTCACTCTGCTTAAAGATTAATGAGAAATTCAAGATGCATACTAAGGGCAAAGGCGTTATGTATAAAAAGATGGAGAGCGTCTCACCTGGAGGATGGGAGCCGCGCTGTCATGAATGGACAGGATGTGTGTGATGTTGTTTCTGGCTAACTGTTCTCGGTCTCTGGCATCTGACATAGACAAATAACACGACACAGAAAGCCCGTGGATATGTGTCATATACAAGAAGCAAATCAAAATGAGTACAGAAAAAATTACACTTAGACTCACCTTTGAAATTTCCCAAGTACAGGTCAGGCAGGACCTATGAGGGAAGAGATATAGGTGTAAAAGTTTGAAGCAGACATGGTCAAAGCATCACTGATACACAGAGGGGTTATAGCAGCTGAGAGAACCTGAAACAGCTGACTCAAATGACACCCTGAAAATATGAAGTGATAACTGCAAATTATAACCCATGATTCAAATCTGAATTTAAGATCAAGTGACAAGAATAGTGACCAAAAGTCAAAGTAGGTTTAACATTCATAGTTAGACCACTACAGTTGTCCCGTCTATACTGAACCATTGTTGAACTAATAAGCAGACACAACTTTTGTTCAAAGACTCCACTGTAAGATGACGATCACTCTATCATCATCTCCTTTATTCCACTCAAAACAGTGTTTGAACCCAACACTGGTCTCCACACAGATGAGGCTCATACCTTGTTGATGCCATTACCCATGCTGAAAGACCCCGTTTGAAAGATACCAGTGAAAAGAAACGCCACGCTGTGTTCCCTCGTTGTTTAAAAATGCTTATCCAGCGCCGTGACGCCTTCCCAAACCCGCTGTAGGGGCGCAAATGCCGCAGCTCCGAGTCCAAGCGAACCGAGCGCTGCTGCCCAAGCTCCCCGTGTTGAATGCTGGGAATTGAAGTTTGCTGAAAAGAAGAAGAGTGGATTTTTTTTTTTTTTTTATGGAGAAAGTGTTGTATGGACACAAGTGTGGTTCTAAACTCAAGCCTGTTTTTTTTTTCTTCCTGTTTTCCCTCATAGATAGAAATGAGAATATTAATAGCCTGCCCGCCAGGCCTGATGACAGCAAATACTTAACCCTAAAATAAACTTTAAAAATACAACAGACTGTCTACACATACCAGAGCAAAATTAGCCAGGTCCCTGTGGAAATATTAAAGGAATACAATAGGCCACCATGAAGTGAGAAGGGATATAATTGTGAAAGAAATGCGGGGTAGAAGTTTTCACTTTTAAAATGTTTTGATTTTAAAGAAATCTATAATTTTTACATCCTGGACACCACTGCCTTGGACTTGATGTTTGTAAACTAAGAAGCAGGATGGTTTTCAGAGATGGGCACTACATAACATTTATGCACACTATTAGAAATAAAGTTGGTGAATTCATGCTTTCCAGTCATCACCACCAGAGGGAGAGATTATGGGCTTTTGCTTCCTGGTTCAGGACACTAACCTCAAATTTCACAGCAGAAGAAAGAGTCAAACTCATTTGAGTGATTTTACTTAAGCTCCCAACCATCTTTGAGAGCAACGTTGCCTCTTTGTCCCAATTTCCTGTGCTGATGCATACGCCAGAATGAGGGAAGGAAGGGCCGCCCCTTCAACACCATGATGTTCTCAGAAGCAGAGAAATTCAGTGGCAGCGAGGAGATGGGGAGGATAGGTCACATCAGCCACACACAGGGCCTCTACCTTCCCTGCACCCTGGATGGTCGCCCTCTCCACCATCAGAGCATCATATGTGACATGACACCATCGGAAAGGGTAGTCCAGACGCCGTCCATGCCTAAGGGACATTCCAAACACCAGAGGAAGAGCCAGTTGTCAGCATGGCTACACCAGAAAGGGACTTCAGGACAACCTCCACTGAGAAGCCTGTCAAACCTCAGGGAAAGAAACAGACAATGGTGCCACCAAAGAAAATGACCACCTGGATGCGACCGTCCCCTGGGAGCTCCTACTTTACCACCAAGAAGGACGCTGAAACCAGCCTATTGCAGCACACCATCAACTCTGAGGGGGGTTCAATTCATCCACCTCTGTCCCAAACAGCCCTGCTAGCCAAGAGCCAGGCAGCTGAACAGAAGACCAGTAAGATGACTGGGGCAGGCAATTGACAGCATGGGAGGCTGTGCTGTTACAGACAGAGGATACCACCTGGCAGTTCTGTATTGATAACAATCATGTTAACAACGTCAACAGGAAGTACTGCTACCCACTGGCCCACATTGACAGCATGTTTACACCGCAGGCGCCAGTTGGTTCAACTTCCTGATGATCTGTTGTTTTTCTATGTGGGGCAGTGACCACCAGACTGCAGCTTGAATGGGAGGACTGCTCGGCACTGTTTCTCCGTGAGAGTGCTCATCTTATTCTTGCCTCAATTAGTCTCAACCAGCCAGTTGAATACCTGAAATAACTCATGCTGTTAATAATAAAATTGGTTGGACTGAATTATTCAAATGGGTCTGACCAATTGATCTAGGTCACAGAACATTCATCAAACAATTTTAATTGTGGATAGAAATGAGGAAATATTATTCACTGATGTGTCTGTTTTAATATTCTGTCACAGTGCTCAATAAACTGTAAACTGCTACATCTGGAAAGTTTCCCAAATAACCCTGAAGATTACCAGCAACAAACGTGAATAATAGAGAAACAGAAAAAAATGTAAACCAGGAAACCGTGACAATACAAGACAGGTAAATATGATACTGCTTTGTTGTGGCTTTAGTGTGCAAAAGGAGGAATTTATAGTGTGGGTGTTCACAGATAGGCTGCCCAAAATGTAGGCCTCCATGTCATACATCGCCCACGCTGTCAGAGGCTACAATTCAGGTGGTTTCCCGCTCTAGTTTCACATAAACGCTTGTTTTATCAATGGACTTGTTTTTTTTTTGCTTGTTTCTGGTTTATTTAAATTAGTCTATGGCATCATTTTGGCTGGTTTGTTGTACTTCCAAAATAGGCCTATCAAGGTCATTACAGTTTGCTTCTTTATTCTGTAAATACTGTAATATTTGGTCTCTCGGATGACAGATGGTGATTGGAGCATCTGAAAACTGGGTAGAGGTAAACAGACACTTAGAACAATGTTTCAGTTTCACCATTTAAAATCTCAAATAGGCAAAGATACAGTCCTACTACTGGGCAAAGCAAGGTTCAGTCCACAGTCTGCGATAATTAGTTTCACCAGTAGGTGGCGGCAATGCCACACGACAAGATTTACAGCGGTCCTGTGTCAGAGGAATTCTTTGTCTGAACAAAGTGAACAAATTGTGAACAAAGTTAGAAATGAAACAACTTAATATCACATCCTGAGTTCATGTTTTGTTATGGGACATTAGGCACTTTCAGCCACAAACACCTGACGTCCCCAGCCGTCCTGCTCTGTTATCGACTTGTGAGACTGTTTGTAGTTTTTTAACGCCGCCTGCTGGGTTTCGCTTTTGAACGGAGGACGTCGAGGAAACCCCGGAACTACAAATAAAAGTGTCCTACTTGGATTGTACAGCACAGTTTACACAGGTAACCGTTTTAATCCAGCATTTGTCGACATTGTGTGTATTGCGCTGCTTTTTCGGGTAAAGTGTTTGGGAAACGTTATGAGGGCTTGAGTTTGTGTTGTTGCCGAAAACTTTCGGAAACGTCAGGCGTTAAGCTAGCTTAACATCCTCAGCCCTGTCGAAGTGTTTTGAAAGTTACAGATGGTTGACTCGCCGCTTCAGTCATTCAGTCTCTCTCCCAAGCGTATTTACATATGCTGTGTTTGACAGAATCCGTGTGTTTAGTCACTTATATCATTTTCCCCCTCCTGATATGTTGTGTTTCTTGTCTCCTTGTGTTCTTATTGTGACTTTATGAAACAGGTAACGTTATGGCCACCGCGCCACAGCCTTCTCTCCATATGAGATCGACTGATCTCATCAAGAAAGAGCCCCTGGACTACGGAGGATTTGGAGAGGTGTACCTGTGTTACCATGTAACCCTCGGCCAGGTGGTGTTGAAGACTATGTATACAGGCCCTCTTCGTAACGAGTAAGTTGTGTGTATCAGTGGTGTATCGGTATAAAGCATGCAGGGTATTCCCCGTCGTCTGCATGGTAACTTGAGTCATGTGCCCGGCAGTACACTTCAGGCAGGCTCTCCAAACAGTGAGACTCATGTTATTTACCCTTTCTGACGGGATATAGAAAGTTCATTTACTATGTAAAATCATATGAATTTGGTGGACGAATGTTGCCAGTGTGAAAACCGAGCTAGTTTGGCAATATAGAAATAGTGTCCATCCTCAGGCTGTGCTTTGAAAAGACATGCACTGATTGATGAAGTACTTCCTAGCAGAGACTAGAAAGAGGCACTCGTTTATCTTAAATGCGGATGTAGGTCAAACATCCGTTTTTCAGACCAGATACAACAACAACTTTTCTGCTGGTGAAACATTTACAGTCACTCAAAACACAACAAATTCGTATTTTTTTTGCAGCCTCAACATGAGATTTCGTATATGTCCTGCAAGGGATGCACATATTCAAGTTTTTCTCTCCCGATACTGATACTTCAGGGTATCTTTAGTATATCGATGCATGAAATTTAGGTTTTTCTAAATTGAAAATCTGCACTTCACTGTGTGGAAGTGCCTCAGTGCCTCTGTACATCCTGTGCCACTATGAGACTAGACAAGATGCAAGTTATGCCACTTGTATGTATATCTGGCTCTCACTGTTTTTACTGCACTTTCCAGGGAGAGTAAAAGGTCACTGCTGGAGGAAGGGAACATCATGGCAAGCCTGAACCATGAACGGGTGGTCAAGTTGCTGGGTGTGATCATGGAGGACAGGGATTGCTCGCTGGTCATGGAACTCATCCCCAGAGGCAACTTGTTGGTCATGCTCGAGACGGTCAGCGGATTTAATATCTGTGGTCACGTTAAAAAGTTTCAGAATTAATGTCTATAATTTCAGTAGTTCCACTAGTTGTCATCAGTAGTAAATAACTCGTATTATGTTATTTTTTTCCTGCCTGTTGCTAGGTCTCTGTGCCAATATCAATCAAGGGCAGAATCATTTTAGAGATTTTGGAAGCGATGGTGTACCTCACCGAGAAACACGTCATACACAAGGACATCAAGCCAGAAAACATTTTAGTGGACAAGGATTTTCACATCAAGGTATATTACACACCATGGCCCCTGGCACATTTATGATTTTGACAGCATGCATGGATAATCTTGGTCATTTAGGATTTTTTTTCCTCTGTGTTTTCTAGATTGCAGACCTTGGCCTGGCCACCTGCCAGACATGGAGCAAACTCACAAAGGAGGAGTCTCGCAGGAAGAGTCGACTGGGGCGATCTGCTGGGGCGAGAGCCGCTGGCACACTGAGCTACATGGCCCCTGAGCACCTGGAGAGTGTACATACAGCCTCCACTGAGAAGTCCGATGTCTACAGCTTCGCCATTGTGGTTTGGGTTATCCTCACTGGTGAAGAGCCATATGCAAGTGAGTTGGGATGTCAGCAAGACCCATTTAATATATGAATAATTAAACAGTACTGTTTTAAAATGACTATCTGCATGCAGACAATCAAAGTAAGTGTCTTTTATTTTTTTTCAGATGCCAGGAGTGAAGACCAAATGAGCCAGTGTGTCCGAAACGGTGACCGGCCGGCAGAGGAACGTATCCCAGGCAACACGCCTGCAGAGATAATTCAGATGATGAAGAGGTGCTGGGATCACAATCCACAGCAACGACCAACATTTAAAGGTGTGCTTTGTGTGTGTTTGTGTGGGTGTGTGTACTTTAAAGGTTAAAGGATAGGGTTTAATGCATATACGTGTAATATGACTAATGGAATCACACAAAGATTCAAGTGCTTCATTGTTGTTTTTTTGTTTTTTTGTTTCTTATAGATTTCAGTATTTTCACAAATACATAAATATATACAGAAAATTCCTAACATTTCCCGAATGAATTGACAAATTAATTCCCAAATTCCTGAATCCCCCAAAAAAGCGCTACAGAATTTTCACCAGACAGGAGGGTTTTGATTTTGCTCTCAGCTGTTGTTGAGTTTTGTCACAGGCATACAGTTTGTACATTTTCTTGCTTGAATTTTTGAAGCTAAGGCTGCATCCACACTAATATGTTTTTTTACTTTAATACGCATAACCTTTTTCTATGTTTGACCCCTTCGCTTTATTAGGTGAATCTGCTTCTCATCCTTTACCTCCCTTTTCCTTTTCTTGCAGAGAGCTACGACTTCTTCCGTTCTTTCTACACAGAAAAGCTTGAACCACATGTAGAGGAAGATCTACTTGTTCTGATGGTAATTATATTCTATTTAGGATTTGATCTCATAATCCGGTAAAGGTACACCCAGATAATTACAAATTCTTTGCATCATGATTCTCCTTCTGATTTTATGCAGAAATCTTATGAAGGCCCAGAGGACCTTGTTGAGAAGATGAAATCTTTATTGGTGACCCCTGATTGTTTTTCAGCAGGTGAGCACTGTTGGTAATCTTAATGGCCTTAATATACACTCTAATGTCCATCGGGCTGTATTACATTTAATGTTCTAAATGTTGAGAAAGTTAGAGAAATTGTTAAATTAAAATAGTTTTTTCTATCTATATATATATATATAGGGGTATATATGTATATAAAATATGTATATATAATTACATACTTATGTACATGATAGTCCTGTCTGTTTTGTCTATTCCTATAAATTCCTTTGTATGTGTACCCATACTTGGCCAAAAAAGCTGATTCTGAAAAGGACTGAGTAGATGTATTGCTTTCACTTCTCTCCTTACCTTGCAGATTTCCCAGCTTCTTTAGTGAGTTCAGACAGAATTGTATCGGTGCCAGTTGAAGCCAGTATTGAGGACCTGCATGACATCCAAAATGAGCCTATTGAGGCAGATGCAAAAGCAGTTAGCAGCCCTTCAGTTCTGGAGGAGAAACTGGATCGGGAGTTTCAGTACCACAAACACGGTAGCTATAACAGTGACAACCAGCCTGACGCTGCCAACTGCTACCATCACAACACCTCAAATCCTTTCCTGCCAAACCACTTCAACACTTCAGATCATGCGATAAGGCAACCTGAACAAGACAGATCCTCCTCTGTCCATTCCTGGACAAAAGCTGAGCCAGTGCAGCCCACCAGCCAGGAAGAGGTTTGGCGTCGCCCTACTGCTGGTCTCTATGATTCCATGAACTCTACCACACCTACTCCATCCCACTTGCCAATGTCTGCCAGCACCTCTTCTCTACCACAGTTTAACCAACATCCACATTCCCACTTTGACCGCCAGCAGTCCTGGCCAGCTTACCCAGTGTCTGATACATCTGCTCCTGACATCAGCCCGGGGCGTCTCCTGGCCCCTTCCAAGGGCAGCTCGCTACAAGATCCAGGTAGACACAAACATGTCTGTTTGATGAAGCATTTCCTCAGTAAATTCTAGATCTAAATGCCTGAGGTGTTCACAGCCTTTGACTGACATTAGAGAGACTGTGTTTATGTGTGTGTTCTTTGTGCGTGTTCCAGGATCTCTTTTCATTCAGAATGCCAGCGGGATCCAAATTGGGAGCAACAACACGATGAGTATCAGGAGTTGCGAGTCCTCCAGTAGTTTATTGTCTCAACCTTCTAATGGCTCAGCTTACAGTCTCATCAAAGAAGGCATTCTGAAATACGGTAAACCAACGTTTCCTTCACGTTATAGATGTGATATACTATGTCTGTACACTGTCGTTGTCCCTCAGTTTGCCTATGTTTGTTAGTTATTAGGGCTGCAATTAAGTATTTATTTTCCCTTATTGATTTATCTGCTAATTATTTTATTAGTTCATAGTTTTTCCATAAAATGTAAATGTTCATGATATAGGGCAAAGAAAAGTGTCAAATTCTCTCTTTTGAGAAGTTGAAAAATTACATATTAAATAGGTTTTTAAAATAGTTGCCGGTTATTTTCTGTCAACTAACTGATTAACCCACTAATGCTTTTATCTGTAGTAGTTATTTATCCATTTTTAATTAAAAAGAACACTAAATAATGCTCATCTGATCTGCAGACATAAGAGTTTTTAAATAGTCCACGACAACAGTTTCTAATTAGAATTGAATAAATAATTGCCGTAATAGATTTATCTTTTGTGTCATTTAGAGGATCATGCTGTGACTGAAGAGCACCTGGATCTGCTGAGGGAAAACATCGGGAACAAATGGAAGCGCTGTGCGCGGAAACTGGGTCTGACCAGTGTGGAAATAGAGACCATTGAGCATGACTATTACCGTGATGGTCTGCCAGAGATGGTGCACCAGATGCTGGATCGTTGGAAAATGAAGGAGGGAAGCATTGGCTGCACAATCGGGAAGCTTTGTCGAGCTCTGGAAGGCAACATAAAGGTCGATGTCATTCAGAAAATATTGGACACTTGCGGCTCTTCCTCTTTGATCTGATAAACTTTAGCAGATTTGCCCTCTAACTGACATTCTGCCTTATGATGTCCATGTTTTCTGGGCCTAATATTTAAAGGCTCTCTTCAAACCAAAACCAAGAAAACATTTGGGTTTTATGTGCCATGGGTTTTATATATTCTCTCTGTCATGCTGAATATAGTAATATGTTGTCAAAGCACGGAAAATGGCATATGGGAAGAATATGTTGGTTACTCATGTTAACCACAGAGCTCACTGTCAACTGTTTTCATCGGGAAATTGTCTTTGGTAGCTAAACAAACACTCGTAGTCATGTGATATGATAACATGATTACTTTGACTCGGGAAAGTTAAAACTACCAAGCTTATCTTAATGAACAGTAGAGAGGAACATGGTCAGGGTTCAAGGTCTTCTAATTATTCAATTCAAAAATCATTGTTCAATTTGTAATTCATTGTAATAAGATAATGATTTGCTTTCATGTGTAAACAAGTCAAAGCAAGAATTATTACAATGGTAATATTTTTTATACAAACGCTGTCAAGTGTTGAAAAAGACTGGTTACTGTGGCTTTAACAGAATTATAAATTCATATTCAGGGACAATCAAATGGTGTGTGGTAAACATTTATTCCAGCACAACACAAATGTAATGACTCAAAGCACAAATGAGTCTGTAAAAAGCTGCAAAGTGGTTTCAAGGGGGTGGGGGGTTCAAATTGTACAGGACAGGAACTTTAGAACAATATTCTACCAATACATGTGTGTTCTTTTTGTCATCTGTGTGTCCAGTAGGGGTCAGCAGATAAAATGTTGGTAAGAGCATCAAACTGTCTCTTTTGATCTAAGACCAGCTGTAGATTATGTACCCCTCCCTTTTCCCCAAATTACTGTAACAGTGTACAAATGACTAATTAGCTACTTGTTGGGAGTTTTCAGTGTGTGGAGTTAATGTGATGATATCTGAATATCTTTAGCTGCTGCGCTGTATTGTGTCAAGTATTTTTACATGATTACAAAATACTGTTCTCACCATCCGAAGGTTGTTCTCGATGATGTCTTCATGTCTTTACATTATCATTACAAAATTAATTGTGCTTTTGTGTATGTATGTGTGGGTTTTACATTTCGTGATATAGTGCTCACTACACAATAGTAGACTTTTTTGCAGCATCACAAAAAAAACTTTTCCTCCATAATTCCACAAAGCTTTACTTAAACCTCTCTGGATTTACTGGAAAGCCATTTGATGAACAGAATAAACTGTGAGTACATATGTTCATGAAATTTGAGCGTAAATGTGTATTTAATTGCATTACACAACTTCAGTTGATATTGTTTCAAGTTTAGTATTTCCTTAAGATCTTATTAGTTATCCCCTGCAACTAGCTCATGGATATAAATATACTGAAAAAATGACAGACTGTAGCTAGTATCCCAATTCCACACTACATGCTAAATCTAGGCTGTGTGAGAATGTAGTGGAAACGTGACAAAATATAGAATACTAAGTGTAAGTGGCAATGCATATTAAAATGCATTTGACTTTTGACATTGCTGTTGAGGGACACTATTCTCCCACAATGCCATGGACAAAGCAAATGGAAAGGTGCTCACAGCTGGTGAAAATGAAAGCAAATTGCATAGAGGTAAAACTGCTTTGTGAACACCCCAGAAATACACAAAAAACAAAAAACTCAAATGTATGTCTTGATGTACTTAAAAGTGACTTAAACAACTTATGGATAAGACCTTTTTCATAGCAGCCATTTTGACATGAAATAGTAGGGTAAACACAGGTGTTACCAATTATACTGATACTGATGAGGGTTCCATTCAGGTTAAACAGTCAGGGTGTTTGTGCATGTTGGCTACACTAAATGGAACAATACCTTAACTAGTGTATTTGTCAGCAACAAGTCAGTATACACCAATCACGGCCCAGTAAGTGAACAAGTGAACAAGACTTTAGACTTAAAATGACTCTAATAGGGCCAAATATAATGTTTGCATATATCTTTACGTGGTTTTTGTAGACAATTTTGCAAAAGTTTAAAAAATTGTTTGTGTTGATTTCATTTCTCCGAGTACACATGACAGGAAGACACATTTTTCCTTGGACTGTTTTTATTGAAAAGACTGTTTGAAATCAATACTTTTTTAATGGATAGTTTTGTAAATGGAAATAACAGATGTGATGATCAGTATCGTTTTCCTGCAAATGCAAACAGAGCCACTGCTTTCTTTTCTTTTTTTACCCGGTGAGTTTAATAATCTCTTCACTATCTTCCAGAAAAGGAATCCCTCCATGCCATAAACGATTAAAGATAAGGGATAAAAATGTGGACAGGCTTCCCAGTTTCTTAACAGTAATTACATCCATTTTCTATCAGATTTATGGATGTCGTTAAACAGCACCCTGTCGATCCATAGATAAAATCTAATTAACCACTTAACAGTACGCCTCGCAACATAAGACCTACAACATAACAAGTAATTAAACAAATGGTAAAACAACTACCTTTTAATTAGATTACATGAAACGGCAGTAGGCCCGTGGGGTATGCCAGTATGAGAGTAACACTTCTGTGAGTGACTGAGAAACTGAAACAATTGAGTTGTCAATGACAGGTTTGGGCCTGAGTGATTGCCCAAATCCCAATCACGTCATGTTTACTTTACATCATGGATTTACACACAGCAACAGCAATTACAGACAACATAAACTTAATATTCTTTCTGCACTAATGAATGAATTTACAGTTGCATTATTTGAGTTGTATACGTTTTTGTATTTTTCCCTTTCCCACCAGTGTAGTGAAATAAACAACATTGTTAGGTAGTCACGTAAAGACATATTCCGTTTTCATTGTACATGTAATAAAGAATGACTTGAAGTTCTCATAATACTGGTAGGCAATATTGTTCTACACAGTGTGTACATAGATATGCGATCAAGCACCAAAAAATATATACCTGCAGTTGTCAAGTGTAAACAATACTTGGACTGGCATAGTAAACGGAGTGTTAAGATTCCCTGAGGGTGAACTCAGGTGAAAATGAGTCAATGACTAGTAGAAATAATATCAAGCATTTCCACAGCACTTTTACAAAAAAAATATTGAAAGTTCAGAATGTCAGCTTAAACTTGAAGGTACCATTAGCCATAGGGCAATACTTTCTCGATGCTTGAAACCCAGAACTAAAAAATGTATTTTTTCCATTTCATTTTCTTTGTTTTTTAAAAATGTGGATTATTTCAAATGCTTTTTTTTCATTTTCCACTCCCTCAAAGGCCCAAAAAGCTTATTTTCTAAATTAGTTAAGGGTTCCTACATGAATACAATCTTTTCTGCCATAGTTAGAACAGTTTTCATTCATATTTAACATTACAGATTTCTGCATTTCTGTTTTTCTTTGTGCTCCTTTCACTGATTTTGAAGGGGTCAGGGCTAGTTTGGAAAAAGGAGCAAAAAGTTCTATACTTGCACCAATAAGGATTTGAATCAACGTTTGAATCAGAATTTAGACAGTTGGTGGATTGTTTCGTCATTGTCAACCAAATCTGATCAAACCTCATCCACACAGTACTGAGATTTTAAACTCTTAAATAATAACTAAAGATCATGAATATTTAATAAGACAGAGAAATACTTTTGAATCAAGTTTTCAGGGGCATTAAAGTGACACTCTTTAGATTGTTTATGGGTGTACAACATGAAACACAGCGGGCACCACAAAATAAATACGTTGCATGGCTGCTGCTCAAAGACTTATATTGTACATTCCTGAACAAGATTTCCTGAAAATATAGATTAGTAATTTCACATCTGAAAGAACATAACCTGAAAAAATATGTCCAGAGATATCGTGTAAACATTATAAATTGAGAGAAATATCAGGGCCATGCCACTTTCGCATGCCCTGGAACCATCTCTAAATTAATATGGAAGTTGTCTATTTCTGAAGTCCTTTTTGCACACATGGTGGCCAGCAGAGACTTCTTGTGGCACACGTTTTGAGTCTTCTGCTTATGTTTTTTGGGAACTGGAGTGTCTTGATGCTTAGAAGAGTCTCCATTGGCCACAGGGTTTATGACACTGCACATTTGGGGGTAATGTCTGAAGCATTCGAAAGCATCCTTACACTTCTCACAGCTGTGGTCCTTTAATGGTATAGGAGGTTGAGCAGAGCAGTTGGATGAAGGGAATTTGTTGGTCTGTCTGTGGATTGTGCGAAGTCGGACCCTGATCTCTGGCTTGAAGCAGCACCTAGCTGGCCCCGCAGAGCAGAGGCAGCCCTTCAGACAGGCGTGGCATAGAGTACCCATGTCCCTGCGCATCACCTTGCGGAAGTTGGGCCTCAGCATTAGGTAGATGATTGGGTTGTAAATGGTGGAGGACTTGGCAAACATTGCTGGCATGGCAAAAGCCATAGGAGGGATGTTCTCAATGTGTCCAAATGCAGCCCACATGGACACCACAGCGTATGGACTCCATGCAGCAAAGAAACCGATGCAAACAGCAACACTTAGCTTTCAGAAAGAAGAGCACACAGTAGAAAAGTGTAATTGATATCATTTAGAAAATGCATACTTTTAAAAACTGTTTTTGGTGCTTTTTACATCACCATGTATTTCGAGTGTAAGTCTAGTATATATTTTTCTCAGTGTCAACAAATCCCACGAAAACACCAAAACCATCAACATGTTACTATGTCTGTCAATACATGTCGTCTAGTGCAACATTGTGACCCATTTATGTAATTTTAATAGTTTTTGTACAATGGAGGTCTAAATCACAGAGGTATAAGCTATCATGCTTTGGCTACATAAGTGACTTATTGGTTTGATCAATTTATTGTTGGTTTTGGTTTTTCATGGTGTTTGGTGAAAATAAGAAACATAGAATATCATCAGACTTACCCTTTAAGAGCAGAAGATATAATCTAAACAATGTCTAGCTAGAAAATGTGTTAATTAAATACATTTGCCTCTCCTTGGTATGCCTGACTGTGTTTGAGTGTTTTCCTTGGCCAGTATCAGTCAGATGCTACATGAGCAGAAAGGCATTTTTTTGAGCCTTTTTTGGATGAATCAGAGTTATCCTTGGAAAAGGGTATATTATGATGACCGTTTATCAGCAAAGGCAGCAGTAGCTTCTCATCCATCACAGTACAGCCAGAGCCAATTCTTGCTAATGAGAAGCTGCATCACTGGAGGATCTATTGAGGTCACTGAAAATTTCTTGGAGGAGCGAAGAACTCTCCAGACGACTCTTGTCTCTAAGGGGGCACTTTGATATTATACCCCTGAACCATCACCACATTGCTATTACCATGTGGTGTCAGTTTTATCTGATGGGCACTTCTTTCTTTCATTTGTTTTAAAGTTTCACTACATATTGGATGGGTGAAACTGACAAGATTTGTACCAGTAATTACAGGTATGACCAAATGACTCAGCTCAGAGTTAAGTTTCAGGCTTAGCTTATTTTTGTCTGTGGGTGTGTATATCGTGTGTGTAGTTGAAAGAGTGCAAGGGGTTTAATAACACTCCTCTGGGATGTGATTATACGAAGACACAGTAATGATGAGGGCAAGCATGTCAAGGTGAAAAGAGATTCAAACAGAGAAAGAGACTGCAGAATCAGTAAAGCAAAGCTCACAGACTTCTTTCATAATAGTCACTTCCAATGGTGCTTTACTTTCTTAGAATATGTTATTTCTAAAGCAGTACCTAAAATTGAGGCTCTGGCGGAAAGAATAAAAGCACTTAATAATATATGAGCCAAATGGTATCTCTGGGATGGTGGAAGTAATAATTGTTATTTATCAGACTCTCCTCTTACCTTAACAATAATCATCTGGATGCTGCTCATGTTCTTCTGCCTCGATGCATGCTGCTCCATATTCTTGCGGGATGCATGCACTGTGACCAGAATGCCTGCGTAGGATGCCACAATAACACAGCATGGAAGGATGTAGCAGAAGATGAACAGTGCCACAGTGTAGGAGCGTGCTGTGGTATGCTGATTGGACAGGCGCCAGTCAATGCAACAGGCGGTGCCATAAGGCTCTGGCCCATAGTTCCCCCAGTGGGCCAGTGGAGAGCAGGCAAACAACAGGGCATAGACCCAAGCACAGGCAATGAGCAGATGACCATGAACAGAGTTAAACCTGTTCCCTGTGAAGACAAATTAAGTTTAACTTTTATTATTCAAGTTGTTAAGAGATTCTGGCAGAATTTGCAGCAAAAATATGTTACAATATTTAGGAAGTTTGATAACCCTGGTTCTCTTAAGCAGCATGAGTGACCATGTGAGTGCCACCCCCTGCATGCTCTCAGAAGCACTTATTCCATTTGAAGGACCAGTATATAGGATTTAGTGGCATCTAGTGAGGAAATTGTAGTTTGCAACAAAGTGAATACAACTCGTCCTTCCAAGTGTAAAAACTATGGGGGCAAAAAACTCAAAAGGTTCTGTTTGGTTTGTCCATTTTGGGCTACTGTAGAAACAAGACAGGACCTGCACTCTCTGTAGATAGTAACAACTTATTTTAAGGTTGAAAACAGGATTTTTATTTTCAGGTGATTATACAGCAATAAATATTAGAAGAAATTGAATATTATATTCCATTTCTGGATTTATGTATTATTATATTCTATTTCTGTCATATTCTGCAAGTAGGGTCTCCTATACACTTACAGTTTACACACTGGACCTTTAAGCACAGGGTCTGTTGAAATAAACCAGTTCATACGTCTTGTCGACTGACTTCATCTGAAGGCAAAAGTGCTTATAGCTTTTCAATGGTAACGCCTAAAGCTAATCGTTCAGAACCTGCATACTTTCACACAGTGAGTTTCACAGTGTGAAGTTGGCATGCTCACAAGTTGATGCCTTTACATCAGCTCTGAGTGGCTGACTGTCATTGTTCATTATGTCTTAAACTTTCTGCCTACTGCATACATGAGGCATATGTAAGGGTCAGATAGTTCTCCTTCACTCTGACCGGAGATGGAAGAGTCAATGCAAGGCTTCTGGTGCAGAAGTGCATCCGGTCTGAGTGCATCCTGATTCTGCAAGGAAAAAATGACTGGACCCTGTGTGTTCTTCTGTGGTATGAAAAAATCATCTGATTCACTAAAGCTGCATCGCCAAATTATTAGTTTTGTGCCAGCTTGTGTAACTGATGGCAGCACAGCCTTCCTTGACTTCATATGAAATGAATAAATGTGTTTTAGCATTGGTGTGTTTGAGACCCCATGCAGTGTTCTGTCCTTGAAAATACAAATCTTAAGAGCTCTCACTACCAGGGCTGCCGCTTTATGAGCCTCTTCAGCCGACTTGTATTGATCGGCTTCAGATAGGAGTGTGTGGTCTAAATAACATAGCTCAGAATTTTGGAGGGAGGGGGTGATGAAAAGGGGTGGCTTGAAACTCCAATTAAGATGTTCTTTGAATGGGCATATTTAAGGTTATTCTCCTCAACCACATTGAGATTGTTTCCTCAGTAGTGAAGTTGATGATCACCAAGATTGCAGCTCGACCCATTAGCCAACAAAGGATGCTTACCAGGATTTTTTAACTGTGGCCTGGGCATGTTCCAGCCATAGGCAAGGAGAGCAGACCCGCAGTATTTTTTGCCAAGAAGTTGGACTTTTGTTACTGGAGGTGTGCAGACTAGTGCCAGAATCTCTTTTGGAATCCATTTGGCTGGAGCTAGCTCAGGTAGAGGATAAGCAACTAGGTAACTGCAACCTGACAACAAGTTAAAGACAAGGCCTCTGAAGAAAGAAAAGGTGATTGAATGACAAGCAAAAGTGTCTGCTGAAAATATATACGTAGACATCATGACCCCTTTTGTGACACTGCCTTGGAAAACACAATTTCTTGAGGTCAAATAGAATGGTCCATTGCACTGCATTAACCAGCATCACAAGTAATTCTTATTGAGTGCAGAACTTGGACTTGTCAGTCATCAAAGGAAGGCTAATGTGCAGCACTTCATGGAGGGATTATCATTTCGTTTCCGTCCACAGATAAATCAACAATCAGCCACTTAGGGATGTGATGGTTAATCCTGTGTCATTTCATTGGGAGAAAATAGCTTCTTTGAAGACTTACCATAGAGCGGATAACATACTTTCACAAAGCACACCATGCTTAGCAGGGTTAGAGTGGTCAGACTGCAGAGGCCAAACAACATGCCGCAAAAAGCGTATATGGAGCACACTGTTTTCCCATACAGCCACCTGCGTAGGAGGGCAAGGGGGGTGTGAGAAAGAGAAAGAGGACAGTGCAAAGCAAAGACAAAGAAGAACGATCAATGAGGAAGAAAGGAAAAGAGGAGAATAGCATGACATTTCATATGTGTGAACTCACATGCAATCATACTGCTAACCATATTGTTAAATTAACCATGAAATACGAAAAAGGATTCTGATTTAAAAGCAATACCTACAATCTTTCGTTTCACATGAAAGTATATCATTCTCTGGTGGTGAGAATAACCACTGTGTATCTGTTTCTTTGCTTTGATACCTATTAATTTTCACGGTAAGCACCAGGTGTGGTACCTGTGGTAGAAGCTTGAACTTATCGCCATGGGGTAGAGTGAGAGAGTCAGGCCCAAGTCACTAACAGCTAGGTTGATGATGAAGTACTCGGCAGGTTTCAGGAGGTTCTTCTTCTTATAGGAGACATAAAGCAGCGTGCTGTTGCCAAACAGTGAACATACTCCTGCAGGAAAAACAGACCAAAACCCCTGAATGCGATGGAGTGCTGATTGTGTGTCACAAGGCTAAGGTGCTAATGTCAAAAAGGTTTTGGCTTTTGAGCAATGGTCTAAAGAAGTTGTCAGAATTATACTGTATATTTAAAGCAATAGTTCAGCATTTTGGGATATTCACTTATTTGCTTTCTTGCAGAGAATTAGATGAGAGGACACCTCTACTATCTGTATGTTAATTATAAGGCTACAGTCATCAGCCAGTTAGCCTAGCTTAGCATAAAGACTGGAAACAGGGGTAAACAGAAACTGATTCAATGCACACAAATTACCGTAACGACTGAAAATATCTATGGGACATCTATCAGATGTTCATGATTATTTAACTTTTCATATTGTAGAATTCAAAGTAGTATTACTATCCCACAGGTGTTTGGTAATAAACAGCCATATATATAAATACTGAGCAATGCTCAGTGCAAACGAAGTTCCAGGCCCTTAAATTCAGGTGACAGGTAAAGTTGTTATGCTTATTATGCCTATAGCTTCACAAGTTACTATTTCTTTACTGATCACAACTGAGATTAAAAATACCCTAGGCATTTTTTTTTTCAGTACATGGCCCAGCCATATAAAATTCATTTTAAAGGCTCTGTATGTTGTTGTGTTAAAAGCAGATAATACATGAACAGCTGCAACACTGGCCTTCTGTACAGTTGGTCTGTACATTGATGTATGCATGCCTGAGGAAGGATAGACATATGCAGGTATAGAATTTACACATAAATACTGTAAATATAGATGAAAAGGATACATATCCACAGTAGATATTACTGGGCAGAAGTGGAATTCATATCACATAGTAACACAGTTTAAACTAAAAAAGGCAAACGTGCTTCCTAGGCTTCACAGTGGGCTGTCTTGCTTCATGCTGTTACTCATTTCAGCCCAAGCAGAATGAGTAGAAAATTCATTGACAGCATTATTAGTGTTATTAATTCTTTATCATGAGTTTAAATCTAGGTAGATTTTACTCACCAAAAATAGAGTAAACCACAGCCACCATTATATCCAGTGGTACAGGTATGTTGGAGTGGAATGCAATGTCTTCATCTAATGGTGCCATCTGAAAACTGATTGAGACAGACAGAGATTTTCAAAAGTAATGGTAGGGATTGGTCTAACTAATATTATAGCTTTTAATCTGTGTATTTTAAATGTATTAGGAGCAGGATGTGAACATTTCACATTAGTCTCAATGGTGAATTAACTGGCTACCAAACAACAAACTGCAACTCTAATCGTTTTACCTTGAAGTCAAAGACCTTGTAAATGTAGATGATTTTCACAAAAATGACCACTTGCAAATGAGACTGAACTTTATTCGTGCAAATCTCTGACAGTGTTGACGTTCTGCAGCACTGTTTGTGATTTGCATGCATCTCTAATTCAAAGGTGAGGACTAATGCTTTAACATGCCTTTAAAATACCAATGTGATACCAGATCATCATCAGTCTCCATTTCCATGTTTTCATTCTGCTTCGGCAGCTGAAGGCAGATTGTGACTGACAGACATAGGTCAATGGCTGACATGAGGGTCAATAAACAAGTGGTTTAATAACAGGACAATGCACCTCAAACACATCCTAATGTGCTGTTCCTGTGGTCAGGCACAGTTCTCAATTTTCAGTAACCTGACTTCCAGCAGCAGACTTTTACAGCCAAACCGTAACATAAAGCCTAAGACAGCTGTACTGATACTATAAAATAATGATGTATTTAAACATATCAAAAGGACATGGGTTGAACAGCATAATAAGATTTCTGCCAATTATAAAGGGTCACATCAACAGGAATCTGAGGTGGGTATATTGTCTGTGGGGCTCCAAGACCTCCTCCTCATCATCATCCTAGATTAGTCTAATGATAAATGTTATATCCAAAGTGTGCACCTTTATCCGTAGATAAATTTAAACATGATAACCCAATGAGGAATGAAAACAACTACTATCTACCTAAAGAACAAAGGATAAATCATAGCCTTGTCCGAGGAGTCCTCAGACCAGTTGCTCAACTTTGAGTCTTAGTTATAATTCTAGTCAAATATTACAAACTCTCTCCGTGCGTAAAGGCGCAAAACTCATCCACACTGTTTATTGGCACCATGGAAGTCATAACATGTGCTACACCAAATTGGATGGTTGAAAGATTTAATTAAATGGCTGTAACACAACTAACTGATGTTTGTGTTTAAAACACAGTTTACATTATATTTCTGTCTGCTCTCTATCGTCCAGCTCAGTTTTGTGAGAAACAATGCTGGTGATAGGACAATATACTAGACAAATACAGCTGGTCAGACCGCCTTGTAACAACACACAGATAAAATAAGTTAAAAGTTATTTTAAAGTGGTCCAAGGTTCAGGATCAGAAGATGTTGATAATTTAGGTTCCGTGTTAATCAGAGCACAGAATTAGAAACCTAATCGAGCAGGTTTCTAATTATGTGCTCTGTGTTACACATTTTCATACAATTGAATTACTATTCAGACTGGACTGATGTTGCAGTGGTGACATTACGTGCAAACGGACGGCAAATTGTCACAAATAGTCAGTGTTAAAATAAATCACCCGAGTTCATCAAGTTCTGTGTATTTTCGCAAATTAGTTGGGTAAACAACATAGCCTATGTTCAACTGCATTCGGTAATTTACATGACAAATAGTAGCCTCTACTGTAGGCTCTATTTCTTCACATATTTCACACAATGACACAATTTAGACTTAAATTGCTTAGAACTTATAACTGATTTTAACTGATGACAAATAAATGTACCTTACCTCAGCGCTGGATTACCTAAATCCACGTCCTCTAATGCTATGCTTGGTCCAATTAAGGTCCCAGTAAGTTTCCAGAATTACTTTTTTAATTGGCTGTTCTTTGCGCCGAATGAAGATGTTCACTCCTCTCAGCAGCAGTCAGAGGAGAAGCGACTACAAAGCACCAGAGAGCGGATCAGTCTGTGAGGACGGAGGAGCAGGATGCCTCACTATAACGAGCTGGACCGCCAGATCCCCCAAGCTGCAAGCTGCTCCGGTCAATTAATGACGTCAATTACACCTGAATTCATAAATGCACACTCCAAAACGCCCATTCATAAATCTTCCAGATGCTTTGATGTGCCATTCACAACTGACGCAAAATGCCCTCCCCCCAGTAATGACTTTTACCATTTTATTTGAATTATACATTTGGAACTGCTGTGCCTTTTTATAACTCTGGCTAAAGCATAATGAGCCAAGAGAGTATGTCTAAGTATTTCTAAAATATTAAAAAAATCAATTATTTTTGAAAACTTAAATATCAAATACCTAACAGTTCACAATTCTGGATCAATTAGTCAGATCCAACATTATGGACCATGGTTAACAATTTACCAGCACCAATTAAAACTAGGGAATCAAAGCCTCAGGGTGGTGTTAGAAATAAAAAAAAAACAGAATTTTGAAAGAAATCCCTGGTGTACTCTTTTAGTTTCCACTATGACTGCAATTAGTTTGGGAATTCAATAAATTCACATCTCAGTGTTTTGAACAAACATTCCTTATATTTCTCTTATAGCTTTAAAAGTAGATGAAATATAGTTTCACTCTGTTTTACAGCATTATATATCTTGTACTGTATCTGTTCATTTAAGAGTGTCATTTATCACACTACAGGGGACAGTGACAGATATTGTTTTGTGCATTGCTTTGGTAAATTGAATCTGTCGCATCCATATTGTTCACATTGAGTGTAGCATTCGTAACCCTTTTTATGCATAGTCCTCAAATTTTAAAATGAAAGGGATTCTGTTCACCCGATACACAGTGAACTCTCTTAAATCGAAGCTGAAAGTCAGCACCTTAACCTTCATTGTTTCCTTTTGAACGCAATGCCCTGGAACACAAAACCCACACAGCATTCAACAGCACATGATTCACATCCAAAATCCATTTTCTGAACATTTTTCTGTAGCATGGAACACTGTAATGTTTAATCTTTGGGGACCTTGTAATCTTTACTGGAATTCAAATCTTGTCTTCTCTTCTTTGAGTTTGAGCAATCCTATACACACGATGACTAACGTTGACAAATTGACTTGCCATAGTGTCCCAGGGATTGAAATGTTGTGAATCTTCATTGTTTCAGCAGTGTGGTGCTTTATGGGATGAGTGTCAATTTCAGCCTTGTAAACATCCCGTTCTATAGTATAAGTTACCCATTGTTGTCAGCAATGGCATGCTGCTTTTCATTACAATTCAATATTGCATATCCCGCACGCAGCCATAAATGAATCACAGTGAGTCAAAGGCACATATAGTGGCATTTGAAAATTAATTTTGAGTTTGTCTCAGAAAATGAAAAAAAGGAAACAATCGAGTTTGTCACACCTTGAAAGCAGGGATGAATTATCTTCAAAAGAATTACACATAGCGGAAATATTGCCTTGCATACCATTTGCTCTCCTTCTTTCTTACATGTGTGAATTCACACACACACACACACACACAAACCAACACACAGATTGCGACTGGAACAGATTGAGCTAAAGCTTGAGATGAAAGCTGTATTTGAGGTGTAATGGTGTTGTCAAAGAATTAATTGTGAAGGCCACAGAGGGGAGAAAGAAATGAATGTCCATGATAAGATAAAACACAGCACACACATCAAAGTGGTGTGATGGGAATACAGAATAAGCATTTCACACAAACTCTAACCGTAGATAGTCATGACTACTGGGGCTTGGGCAGAATATTAATCATGCTTTTTCTAAAACATGGCACCTTTTATTGCTAACAGTGTTTATGCACATATAGTGGCTCCTTATAAGGTTTAATTTCTGAAACATTGCAGTTGAATAGGACATTTTTATTAGGAATGAAAAGCAATTCACCACAGTATTACAGTGATTTAAATATCTGTACCACTGCATTAACCTGACTGTGCCAGATGGTTTGTTACATAGAACCACCTGGGAGGTCATTGTTGGGAACTGTTTAGAAAAGAGGAGGCACTTTGAAAAAACTCTTACCGCCAGTCGGGAGAAGAACATCTTTGCTCTTTTTTAATAAAAAAAAATATTTTCGAGGTCTGATATAACTGATGGTAGCGGCATCTAACCTCTTTAGCATCCAAACCAAAGTATTGGACAAACTGAAACTTTGATCTGATGAAGGTTAAAAAATCAGGGGAGAAACAAAGTTACAATTCATCTTGAGGGGAATCAAATCATTTTTTTAAAAGCTAAATCTGTCGGGATATGTTATTCAAAACAATAGATGTCAACCTTGCTGCTAGCGGCAAAGCCAGGTGATCATCAGAGTCAGTATGATTCATCCTCTGGGGACCGTGAATGTCTGTACCTATTTTTCATGGCAACTCATCCAGTAGTTTCTGAAATATTTCAATCTGGACCAGTGTTGGACCGAACAACCCAACTTTTCTATCCCAAGAAGATTACAACAACAATGTTTTTTAGTTATAAATAGCCTCTAATGAGCTATTCTTTAGGCCAAATCCTTTCCATGTTTCCTTTTATATGTCACTTTAAAGAGAATTTATTAAAATATTTAAAAGAGAATGGCCTGTCTTTGATTTAACATGTGTTGCATGGATTTCTTGCTTCTTTTTTCTTTCATGCATCATTCTGTGACTTATTCCATAAAAGTCTAATGTACAGAAGATTACATCTTTACACCACAACATCTTCAGATCTCCAGCTCAGATTATGACTAAGAAATTATTTAATTGGCACCTGCTCAAAGCCATTGCAAATACATTTTTATGGCTTATTACTTTCCACCCTCATAGTCATGCTGCGATTTTTCATGGTTATTTGTTTTTTTGTTTTTTTTCGCATTGTAATTATATATTTTTTTGACAGTGTATGTGACAGTATGGCTTAAAGGACATTGGAAATTGTGTTTTGAGCCCTAAATTCAGTTGCTTAAAAGTAAGTACAAAAAAATCAATAAGTTTAATGCTCCTTGGACTTGTCTTCCTTGCACCATTGATTTTCAGTCACACTCAGCCCCACGGGTTGAGTACAGAAAGAACCCAGCCCCACCTGCCCACATCGCCCT